TTCTGGGGCCTGGAGCGAACGCTCCTGTTCACGCGCGCGCGAGACGTGCAGACAGGGTTGCCAGGTGAGAGCGAATGGCGCGGTTCACGCCTCGCACAACAGAGCAAACACAAACACAAGAGAGAGATGCGCTCTGCATGGTGGGACATAAAAGAGAGCGAGTACTTGGGCGAGTAGGCCGCCGTGCGGTCGACGCTGCCGCGCGCGACTTTGCGCGCGAGGCGGCGCAGCTTGAGAACGGCGGTGGGCGAGAAGCCGCCGCCGAACGTCTCGTGGAGCAGCAGGTTGAAGTTGTTGCGCGCTTGACAAAGATCGCGTCGTGGTAGAAACCGCGATGCGCCTTGACGTAGGTCGTAGCCGTGGCCGGTCTTGTGGGAGAACGGGGTTGGCCGGGCTGCCCGCGCGCCTTGCAGCCCATGTTTAGGCGGCGGGCCTTCTCTTCGGTGTTGCCAAAGGCGTAGGAGTGGCCAACGGAGGCGGGCGTGCCGCCACTCGAGGCGTTGCCAACGAACGTGTTAGAGAAAGCGAAAGGAAATAGATCTAGACAATCTCAATGCCAAAACTCTTCCACACCAACGAGAACGTCGATCTACAGCTCCACCTTGTCCTCATCCTCCACCTCCTCCATCTCACTCGTCTCGCGTGGCTCCTCCCCGCGGTCCTCCGCCGCCGGCGCCGCGCCCGCGCCGCCGTCGCCCTTGCCGAAGCCGCCGAGGTTGATGCCGTCGAGCATCTTCTCCATCTTCTTGAGCTCCTCTGTCGACTGGCTCGCTCCGCCGGCGAAGCTCATCCCCTTGGCCGCGAGCTTCTCGAGGATCCTTCGCCTCTCGGGGTCCTTCTCCGCGCTAAAGTCGCCGCGCATCTGCCGCATCATGTCCTCGTACTTGCCGCCGGGACCGAAGTCGCCGCCGAGGCCCTCCAAGCCAGGCATGCCAGAGCCCTTCGGCTTCTTGTACTTCTTATCCGGGTACTTTTCCCAGTACCTAATGGCGTCACGCAACCTCGCGGGCGCGCCGCGCGGACCGCAGCGTGCGGTGGCAGCGGCTACTTGCGCATCACGCCCTCCTTGTACGCCTTGGCCTTGAGCGCGTCCTTTGACAGGCCCTTGTAGCTAACGCCAACTTCGTCGAAGATCTCCTTGAGCTCTGCGGCGGCGGCGACGGAGGAGTGGGTGGGTGTTTGTGCTCTCACGCTGCGAGTAGGACACTCGCAGCGCTGCGAGAGGAGCGCTGGAAGCACGCACGTCGAGTCGTCTTCATCTTGATGGCCTTCTGCTCCTCCTCCTTCTCGGCCTGCGTGCGCGCCGTCGAGGGGGCGA